TTGACAGGGCCACTGACTGTGCATAAAGTTTCCCATCTATTTCCATGTATGGAGCCAATCCAAAAGGAGCCTCTGAGGGGGAAAAAGAGTTTGAGATTTGTCTAAAGAAAAACAAAATAAATCAACTAAATAAACAAAAACAACAAAATGATCATGAATATTACAATGATGACTCGTTTCTTTGACTAAGAGTAAGTCACAGTAAGAAATGCAAATATGCTGTTCTGCATCTTTGGAATCAATTAGACAAGGACGTCAGACATGAACAGCTACATTCAGCAAGCGTGACAGTCATTTTGGTATCTTTCTATCGTTTCTCCCACAGCCTTTGAAATCATCAGCTACAGCTAAGTAACTGAAAAAACTGCTACACAAACAAAAATAAAATAAAATTGAAGTATTTTTTGGTGTCTGTATGTTCTTTCGAATTTTTTTTTCTTTCTATATATTTCCTTGTGGGCCTAGTTGGTCTTTCAATGGAAACCTGATATAACAGGGATGGTGGGACCAGGGGGAAAATCCTGCTATATCAGATCCCTGTTAAATCAGAAATGCAAGGGAAGTAAGCATTTAGTGGACTAATCCAGCGGTATTAACTAATAGGTAGTTTCCCTTGTCACAAGTACCCAGTACCCACGAACAGGGGTTTCTGCCATGTGGCAGGCCTGTGCATGACACAGTACGCGTGCGTGTAGCTAGGCTTAGGCTGAAAATATACAACCACGCACAACTGAAGTGCGTCGCGATAAAAAGTCGGGCCCTCCTCTTTTTTTCCAATCGGTGATTTCACTGACACGACTAGACGTAAGGACCCAAAAAGACGTGAGTACGTGCAGCACTTCTTTTTCGCGTGCGGACAGGCTCGCCCTGCTATCGGAGTGTTCCTGGACGCCGTGGAGATAAAACAAAAGGGGGGCCCGGCCACTGAGCTGTATACGCCTACTCAGAACCATTTTTTTCTCAGTCGGACGGAGTCGCGCTGACCTATGGGATCACCGTTTCCGACCTAGCTGCCGTCCGTTTCGCGGCGCACTTCAGTTGTGCGTGGAAGTATATTTTCAGTCTTAGGGCTAGAACGAAGTCTGAAGCACACCGCAGCCCTCTCTCGCTTCACCCGCTACGTGTGCTTGCAGTGGTGTGGCTTGCGTGGGCTTGCTCCGTCACGGCGTTTCTCTCTCTCTCTCTCTCTCTCTCTCTCTCTCTCTCTCTCTCTCTCTCAATCTCTCTCTCTCTCTCTTACTTTTTACACTTTATTAACGAGCCTTTGTCCCTGCTATAACAGATTGGACTCCGATGAGGCCCTGTTATTACCGATAACTTTTAATAGAGACAAAGAGTAGGGAAAAAACGGGGATTTAACTAAATCCCCGTTATTACCGGATCCCTGTTATTACTGGGCCTATTATATATGGTTTCCACTGCACTAGCAATAACAAACTAAAGTAGCCATACAAAATATGCAACAGAAAGAAGAAGAAGAAGAAGAAGAAGAAGAAGAAGAAGAAGAAGAAGAAGAAGAA